AACAAGCTTAGAAAAAGAAACATTAAAATCAAGTAAGGAATTTTATATTGTTTTAGTGAATGGTCTATTATTGAATTAAAAATTGATTGTTTACCGAGGTTGACATAATGAAGTGTCCCATAGTACGGATGAAACAACCGTCCAGTATTTCCAGGTTTTTCATGATGGTCTAACTTTAACTGACCAATGAAATACTATAATATCCACAAAAACCACTTCTGATAATAATGTTAAAGGTTAAAAATAATTCTAAAAGTAATGAATGATATATTTTTAAATGTACAATAACCATAGCTGACTGAACATTATTGAAATAGAAATACAATGTGATCAAGTACATGCCCTAATTTGAAATCCTTAAGGAATAAAAGAAACCAATTCAAAGAGTATATTGCATCGAAAATTGGAACCAGACATCAAAAGAATGAATGGTACTTAGAAGCAACTGGAAAGGAGAACCCAGAATAGAGCTGATTGAAAAAATGTTGGTCGGTGCCTAATACTAAACGAGGGGTAACAGTCATGGGTAAGTAAGTTAGTAAGTAAATTTCTAACCATAAATTTACATAATAACTTACAAATCAGTTTATATTAATTACAATCGTGTGTTCCCTAATGCCTAGCTTCGAAGTGTAACTCTTAAAGTTCTAGTGAGAAGCTATGATCAGTAGAGTTCAATGTGTGTCGGATGCGAGACAGATATCCACTTCAGGCAATGGACAAATAGTTGCACAAGATTATGCTTTACTTGAAGTTAGACACTAACACCGTTAGATACTGGCTCAGAATTCTAGAAGTTAGCTGTTTACACACGAGATTGAAGCCGTTGAGTTTGAATCTCCTGTCCAGGATCGTGATATAAACTGTTGATGAGTCTAATACTACAAAGAAACGTCCATCTGTTTTTCAATAGTGGTCCAACTTAAATCGACTAGCGATTTCAACTGTGAAAACATCACAAATATCATATAAAATCTCACTATTAAATAAAACTATACAAGTGATATTTTATCTATGTTTACATAATTCTGTTATTCAATATTTCATCTGTAAATCCCATTATATATCCTTCTTTATTTGTTTTTCTATATTGCATTTGCCTCCAACTTGGACTTCATTTTGTATACGCATCTATAATGCTATCTCATATAGATGGTGGTTGGAGGTAGTCAACAGGAAACCCTGGACCCGGGTTTCGTGCTACTTGGCACTCGTCAGCAAGGTGTACCTGTAATCTTGAGGGAACTGGTGCTCCCTGGCGGATTCGATCTCGTGTCACCCAGCTTCACAGTCAGAGACGTTACCACTGAGCTATCCGAACCGTGACTAACCTCCTGTAGGACTGAGATGGCTATCTCATATAACCTAGATAACCTCAACAAAATTGTTTACATCATTACGTTCACATAATAATTTGTCTTCAAAAATGTACCGAATATTAAAAGTGTTTCCTTAGCAATATTCTCTTACATTATTTCATTATTATTATTATTATTATTATTATTATTATTATTATCCCAATCAACATATTTCCACAATCCGTAAACAACACCCAAAGATCAATGTTATGAATCCACCCCTTTTTATTGAAGTTCTTTCTAGTTGTTTACAATTATGAAACAATCATAATTATACTGATTATTATGACATAATGGTTGAATAAATTTTATGTTGAATTTAATAGAAACATTTAGTTTAGTTACTACATCACATAGATATATACATCAGTAATTAGGATGGGGGGGGAGGGCTACAGAAACAATGGTAAATTTATTTATTTCTTGGTTATTTTTTAGGGATATTATAAATAGTTTTGTGAATGAATTTGAAATTCCTAAGCGTTGTATTTTTAACTATTGAGACGTAAACAATTTCTATTTAATTGATTATTAAATCTACTGGAAATAGGTATGAAAAAAAGGGTAACGAGTTTTGAATTTTCACTCGGATTCAACAAAATTGACGTATATGTATGATGTATATGTGGACGGTGGCTCAATTTCATAGATCGATTGAAGTTAGACATTAACACCGTATGATGACGGCTCAGTGATCTAGAGGTTTACCGCACGCGCACGAGACTGATAGGTCCTGGGTTCGAATCCCGCAGGGCGGGATTGTGGATGCTTACTGCTAAGGAGTTCAACAATTGGACGGGACCGCTGTCTAGTGCTTTCAGGTTTTCTATGGTGGTCTAGCTTCAATTGACTCATGGATTCAACCATTAAATTACTATAGTATGCACAAAAACCCCTTATAGTATATGTAATTATCGAAATGGGGATTTATGGAGGTTGTAGTAATATTTTAACTAGATTATCATTGAGAACCTGAAAGTAGTGGATGACCGTTTCGTTGTGGTATAGAACTCCTCAATATTGCACAAACACGATCCTGTACGTGGGACTGGAATCAAGAACCTTCAGTCTCGTGCACGAACGCTTAATCTCTAAATTACTGAGCCAACATCTAACGGTGTTAATGTTTAACTTCAATCGATCCATGATCTTCCTCAAACCTTCATCCATTGTTTAAGGTGGATAACTGGTTTAGAATAGATCAAAATTATTAAAATATAAAGTTTTTTTCGATTAAGTTAAAGCTAATCAGTGACATTTTCAGAATATCTAGATCTAAACAGGAATATATTTTAATTTATTCTATTATCTTAAATTGACTAGTTCGATGTAGACTGTGTCAACAATTATCAAGTATTGCCCTATGATGATGTTGATAAGTTTGAATAACAAAGAGTAAAAGTTAAGAGTTTTGATCAACTAAATTTGAGTAATATGGCATTCGAATAATTATGAATAATCTATAATGACTTATTAAGTCTTCATGCAATAAGGTCTCTCAAGTTATTCTAGTAAAGTTAATTGACTTTTATTATGAACTCATATTATTGTTTTCCTATTAGAGTCATAACTAATATGTCACATGAATAAATTTGGCAATCTATCTATTTATCTAATACTTAGTTCTGATCAAAAATCTATCGATAATTCTTCAAAACTTAAAGTAAACATACCAGAATTCTGATTTACTAATTTAGCTGTTACATTCCTCTAATATTAATAAAGTCTACTAAAAAAATACTACCTTTTTGAAGAAATTAAGAACAAAGAATTTGATTATTTTTTTTTAAGTACAAGCAGCTATGGAAACTTTAATATCATAAATATTATTCGTTCGATAATGAGATGAAATAACGTAGAACATGAAATTAATACTTTTATGATTTTATTTATTTAGTCAAGTTACATAATCTAATCTTACGTTAGTGATGGTTACGTTTCATTTGAAATGCACACTAGTTCGATCGTCAATAATGTTGAAGATATAGTCTCATTAACTTAGGATACCAACAACTAAATTGATAACACGCCGTATTTTCCTATCATATTATCAACAGTGAGTCAATACTGACAGCTTTTTTTTCTGTTTTAGAGGTAGTTACTCAGTGAAGACAATGGTGGACAGTCGTGAAATATCGTGAATTGTTTGTAGTTAGATATTAACACCATTACATATCGATTCACTGGTTTAGAGAGTGAGTGTTTGCGCATGAGATCGACAGGTCCTGGGTCCGAGTCCCATATGTGAGGTCGTGGATGCACACTAATGAGGAGTCCCGTAACAGAGTGAAACGGCTGTCCAGTGCTTCCAGGTTTTCAATGATGGTCTAACATTCATTCATTCATTCATGATATCAATTAAAACTCAGCAATCACCTTAACTCTATACAGATAATTTTTCATAATCACTTAATTATTATTTTCAAATCTGTTCTAATGAACTATATAGGGTTACGAGGCAGTACTTTTCGAAACTTACAAACAATTCATCATGATTAAAAGCACAGGTATTAATCTCTCAAAATCAGAACACTGGAGAATTTTAATTTTATTCTAAAGATTCAATCATGAGGTAAATTTTGATACATCACATAGTTACTATTGTGCTGTGGTTTCCTTATATCCACATAAGTAGTATATAACGGTGGTCAGGCATAAAATGTATTTCAATAGAACGTCGATGAGGAAAGAACAGGAACAGAATGCAATTGGTATGAAAATGCATGAACAATGAAATCTGAGGTAATGGATTGATGTTTGCAACACGAACAGTCAAGTTTCACATAATGGATTGATAATTTACAAAAATAAATATTGTCTGTATTGTTCTCAGATTTTAGTGAGATATTCTGTAATTTTCTGCTCAAATACATTCGAATGTTCCCACTTATGTTCTTGTTCACTAAATTATCACTGAAATAAATTTTCTACAGAACTTGAAATTTCACCTGAACTTATCATCAGATTATGTTACACTAATTTAATACTGTGATTGAAACAGTTGAGATCATGAGTCAATTGAAGCTAGACCACCATGGAAAACCTGCAAGCACTAGACGGCCGTCTTGTCCTATTGTGGTACTCCTCAGCAGTGAGCATCCACGACCTCACCTGGCGGGATTCGAACACACGACCTATCAGTCTCGTGCCAGCCTCTTAACCAACTAGACCACTGAGCCATTATCCAACGGTGTTAATGTCTAACTTCAACTAATCCACGAAATTGAACGACACATCCACCTTTGTCATCAGTGAGTTACTATCTCACAACTGACCCGGTTGAACTCCACTGGTCACTGGTTCTCACTAGAACTCCTGGATATATATCTTGAAGTCAGTCACTAGTGATCATATAGTGATTAGTATTATAAGGGGTTTCGTGGAGATCGTAGTAAGTTAAACAGTTGAGATCGTGAGTCAATTGATATGTCCTGGGTTCGAATCCCGCCAGGCGAGGTCGTGGATGAGCACCGCTGAGGTGTCCCACAAAAGGACGAAACGGCCGTCCAGTGCTTCCAGGTTTTCTATGGTGGTCTAGCTTCAATTGACTCATGATCTCAATTGTTTAAATTACTACAATCTCCACAAAACTCCTTCTAATACTGTCATTGACTTATAGATTTTGATAAAGAATAATAATAATAATAAAACCAAATGTTATATTTGTATTAAGTGACAAATGTTTCATACACAACTATATAATTGATATTATGTATTTCCATAATATATTTATATTCATTCTCGATTATTTCCTGTTTTTGGAAGACTCAATATATTAGAAGCTATTCGTATACAACGATTGAACAAATTTGAGATACGATGATTACTTATTTAACACTTGAAGTAAACAACAATTGAAAATGGTTGAAAAATAATACATTTGATAATAAACAAACAAAAAAACTAATTTTTTTTCTAAAACTTACTTGAGTGTTTCATATAATAAAAAATATTTATCAAAATTGTTTGATTGTTTTTTTAAGAAAAAGAAAAGCAATTGCCCTGACTTGGAATCCTCAAGGCACCAAAAACGTGGGGAGGAAGACCAAAGAACATATTACGTTGAAAAATACAAACATGAAAAGAATGAACGAAAAATTTTTAAATAGAACTAGAAAGGAAGACTTAGAACAAAGTAAGTTAAAGAATACTAGACAGTGGCCTATACTCCATTAAGAATCATAGGCATAAATAACTAAATAAGTAAATATCATTAATTTCTAATTCAGAATAATATTAACAATCACTTATACAATTCATGATTGTTATATGGTCGTAATCAATCAATCAATGAATCAGTCAGCAACAACATAGAACTTCGTACATACATACATGAATCAATTCATGTTACTATGCCGCATCGTAATACAATTGAAATAAATGCATCTCAATAGAAAAATAATAAAGGGGGATATATTTTTTTTTCTTAAAAAAACACATTCAATGTTCTATTTCATTAATTCAGTAGTATTTGTAGTTTTTATTTATTTATTTATTTGTATTACGTGAAAAATTAACAAATACTTGATCTAATGTTGTTTGTTTTACTGAATAATGTTCAATATAATGATTGAATTGCATTTTATTTAATAATTTAAATAATATTGATAATTGAATATGTTTATTCATTTGATATTCATAATAATGTGATTGTAATTCATTTAATATTGAATGAGGAAATTTTTTATTAAATTTATTTTTTAATTGATTAATTTGTTCAATTGTTATTAAATGATTTAAACGTATTTCAACATGATAACCATTACCATAACGATTTTTTAAATGTTGTATTGAACCAAAACATTTTAATTGTCCATTAATCATAATACCAATTGATTGACATAATGCTTCACATTCTTCCATACTATGAGTTGTTAATATAATAGATCGACCATCTTTAATAAGTGATATAATTTGATCCCACATAAAACGTTTACCAATTGGATCCATTCCACTAGTTGGTTCATCAAGTAATATAACTTGTGGTTTACCAATTATAGCAATTGCAGTTGATAATTTTCTAAGATTACCACCTGAATAAACTGATGTAATACGATCGGCATATGGTAATAAACCCATATTTTGTAATAATTCATTAACAGTTGTAGAAATTTGTTTTTCAGGAAAACCACGTAAACGAGCATATAAAGTAAGTGTTTCTCGACCAGTTAAAAGATCATGAACAGCATCAAATTGTGGACAATATCCTAGATTTTTCAATGCATTCTTAGTTTGTGTAACTACATTGAATCCATTGACATATACAGTTCCCATGGATGGATGTAGTTTACCAGTAATCATATTAAATGTGGTAGTTTTACCTGCTCCATTTACTCCAAGTAATCCAAAACATTCTCCTGGACGAACTCCAAATGTTAAACGATTAACAGATGGTTTCTTCTTCCGAGGGAAAAATTTAGTTAAATTAATAACTGCAACTGAACATAGAGAATTGATATAACCTTCTTTGTCAGCCTAGTTAAAAATAGAAGACAATATTCAAATGATATAGCATATATTCTATAAACAATTGATGGTTTCAATGAAAACATCCATCCTTGAATGTATTGAAAGCAGATATTTAAGTGTGCCAATCACTTTGCATCGAAAGCTCGCTTATGAAATCTGTGTTAATATTGTCAATCACTGAAGATCCTTAACCTTGTTTAAAGCACACTTAGATCATTAAATATTCAGTAAAGTCTTTAAACATGAGATTTCAAAGTTGAAAATTCATTTTCTATGCGCAAAATTAATAAAGGTTTTCACTCAAAATATCAATCATAACGATTCGTCAGGAATATTTTTCATTTGACCATATATGTATCCTATAAACTAATTATTCGTTGTGGAGATGAATGCTTCCAGGTTTTCAATGGTGGACTAACGTCAATCCGGTTTATGATCTCAATGAAAAACATAATGATCTTCACAATCCTTTATTGATAACTATCCATATAATAAAATATGAATTACTCCCTATTAGCTTAATTGTTAGAACTGCTTGAACATGTTATCTTGATAGAACTACATTTGTTAATATTTACCGAAAATATGAATTCTTATGAAGAATAGTGAAACAGCTGTTAAGTATTGTAAGAGTTTCATTATTATTTATTCAAACGAAATCATTTCATTATTGAGAATGAACCAACCACCATGATGTTACAGAAAATCCCTAATTTATTTAAAAGTAAAAAAAACTATTTTTAGGATTTTATTTTCTTTATTAACTAGTTTGAATGGTTGTCATCATTACGTTCAGTAAATTTGTAGTAGTACATTAATAGATATCATCAAATTTGAGATCACAAACATATCTCTATTGGATAATCATTGAAAACTGAGGGCATTTGGCTGCCATTTCTTTCTCGTATTATGCTTCACAACAGTAATGACTGACATCAAGAATAGGATTTTGAACCTTCATCTCCACATGTGAATGATAAACCTCAAGAGTAGTAATTACTAGCAACACGGGTAAATGAATTTAGTTGATAAATATTCATAAATATCGATTATTTAACTATTTATAATGAAGCCTTATAATCACAGGGACGCTAGTGAAGAGGTAAAAAGAATAGTAAAATTCACATCAAAGTTGAAAAGTGGCTAGCAGCACAATCCAGTAAGCTTGTTTCGCTGTATTTGTGATATGTCAGCTGGATGTATCTGGACTCCACTACTGATTTTTAAATCAAGATTTGAACGCAATAATTTTCGGTCTGAATACTAAGCATTCCGAAGTAGAATGAAACGTACAGTTTGGATTCCAATACTATCTACAATATAAATATGTTAACAGATATAAACTAAGATGCAATATTGAGACGATTTGCTTAGCATGAACGTAATAAAGATTCATCAACCCACAGTACAGAAAGTTAGTAAAGTACAAACCTTTACAAGTAAAGCTGATAATCATGGAATATATCTTGTATCAAATCCGTGTCAAAGGAATTAAACAGAAAGCTTTATGTAAGGTGAAGAGATTTCCAAAGAATGTTAACGTAAACTAATAGTGAAACGTCACCGACTGGCGTTAAGTAACAAATGTAGAGTCTGGTTCAAGACAAAATGAAATCAAGCAGAACAATGGAGAAGAATTTTATTTGACCATTCGTAAAAGCATGAAAATTAATGGACGAAATTATTGTTTATTTTTGACGGAATCATGTACGTAGTGTATACATTATCATGAACAATCACATTTAGTAATGTGTTAATGTAAAATCATGTACAAGATACTCAACTGTAAGACATTTGTTGGAAACGATGAGAAGGGGTCAACACAGACTAATCAATTGTCTTTACATCATTTTTAAAAAGAAAAGGATTTTCTGGACGGTTCTGATGGTGGCAGTCTAAATAATGAGTGAAAATTCAGTGAATTGCACTCATACTTCAGACTGAACAGTATGATTAGTGTCAACTCAACTGAAGAAAAATGAAAATGATCATAGTAGTAGCCTTCAGAGAATCAAATGTGACCATATTTTGTTACTGGAATAAATGAAAGTAAATAATCTGATATTATAAGAAGAACGTAAATGTTTCTTATTTAGTTCTAGTTACTCATAAATAGTATATAATATGTGAATAAAGGAAACAAACGCCCTAGTGTAATAAGTAGTATAAAACAACAAAACTTGAAGTGTAAAATATAACTTACTATCGTTTCTACTTTCTTAATAAATGAATTTAAGTGGGATATTTATCTTTCATCCGATAAATCTTAGATACCTGATTCTTTTATACGTGCGATACGAACATTGATCGAGTTAATAAACTATCCAATTTATTTGATTTTTAGAATTTCAAGTTGAATGATAAGTCATTCAAACAAGTTGATGACATACAAAGTTGTGAAAACATAAAATTTTAATAAATTTCAAAAATGGGTTGATTTGTGATATTGTGGCTATACTGTACAGTTCACTTGGTATTGTTTTATTTGAATCTTCCCATTCATGTTTAAGACTGCAATTGATAAGTCTCTTATTGGCAAAAGTGCATGCTGTGAGTATTGTCTCAATATTGTTTTAATTTACAAGCATTATAAGCAAAGATGGATAGTGACTAGCTGTGGAATGCAAGACGCGCGTTTCCTCCCATTTGGGACTCATCAGATGGATGTACCTGCATCTCAGAATTGATGTTCACTCTCGGACTCAAACCCAGTACTGTTCTCTTCGAACGCCGTCACGTTATCCTCTTAGCTACTAAGTCCTGATACCCACATTCTTGTGCATTGGGGTGAAGTTTAATTCACTTGGTTATGTTTTACTTGAATAATACAATGGCGTCTGAAGCGAACGGTACTGAGCTTGAGTTTCAGAGTGAGCATCAAATCTGAGATGCAGGTACATCCATCTGACGAGTCCCAAATAGGTGGGAACGTGCGTCAAACTGCATTCCACTGCAAGGCACTATTCATCTTTAATATACTGCACAACGCTCTAGAATTTTTTTTCTTTATCAAATACTTACTTACTTACGCCTGTTACTCCCAATCGAGCATAGGACGCTGACCAGCATTCTCCAACCCACTCTGTCCTGGGCCTTCTTTTCTAGTTCCATCCAATTCTTGTTCATTTTTCTCATGTCTATCTCCATTTCTCGGCGTAATGTGTTCTTTGGTCTTCCTCTTTTCCTTTGACCTTCAGGATTCCATGTGAGGGCTTGTCTTGTGACGCAGTTGGGTGCTTTCCTCAATGTGTGTCCTATCCACTTCCAGCGCTTCTTCCTGATTTCTTCCTCCACTGGGATCTGGTTTGTTCTCTCCCACAGTACGTTGTTGCTAATAGTGTCCGGCCAATGGATCTGAAGTATTTTGCGTAGACAATTGTTAATAAACACTTGTATTTTCTGGATGATGGCTTTTGTAGTTCTCCAGGTTTCTGCCCCATACAGTAGAACTGTCTTGACATTTGTATTGAAAATCCTGACCTTGGTGTTGGTTGACAGTTGCTTTGACTTCCAGATGTTCCTCAGTTGTAAATATGCTGCTCTTGCTTTGCCGATCCGCGCCTTCACATCTGCATCAGATCCACCCTGTTCATCAATGATGCTGCCCAAATACGTAAAGGTTTTTACATCTTCCAAATCTTCTCCGTCAATTGTGACTGGATTTGTGCATTCTGTGTTGTATCGGAGAATCCTGCTTTTCCCTTTGTGTATATTGAGACCTATTGCTGCTGAGGCTGCTGCCACACTGTTTGTCTTCTCCTGCATCTGTTGTTGCGTTTGGGATAGAAGGGCCAGATCGTCTGCGAAGTCTAGATCATCCAACTGCATCTCAGATGTCCATTGTATCCCGCGCTTTCCTTCAGACGTTGACGTCTTCATGATCCAGTCGATCACCAGGAGAAAGAGAAAGGGTGAGAGTAAGCAACCTTGCCTGACACCGGTCTTCACTTCGAACGACTTTGTCAACTGTCCTCCATGCACGATTTTGCAGTGTAATCCATCATATGAGTTCTGTATGATATTGACTATCTTCTGAGGCACGCCGTAGTGTCGAAGAAGTTTCCATAGTGTTGTTCTGTCCACGCTATCAAATGCCTTTTCGTAGTCAATGAAGTTGATGTAGAGTGATGAATTCCATTCAATTGATTGTTCCACAATGATCCGTAGAGTTGCGATTTGGTCTGTACACGATCTATCCTTACGGAATCCTGCCTGTTGGTCACGAAGTTGTGCGTCTACGCAGTCCTTCATCCTGTTTAACAATACCCTGTTGAAGACTTTTCCCGGTATTGAGAGAAGAGTGATGCCCCTGTAGTTATCACACTTGCTGAGATCGCCTTTCTTCGGTATTTTGATCAGTAGTCCTTCTTTCCAGTCTGTTGGTACTTGTTCCCCATCCCAAATCTTATTGAAGAGAATGTGGAGTATCCGTGCAGTTGCCGCTACGTCTGCTTTTAGTGCCTCTGCTGGGATGTTGTCCGGTCCTGCTGCTTTGCCACTCTTGATTTGTCTGATGGCCATGCTGATTTCTTCAATTGTTGGTGGGCCAACATTAATTGGGAGGTCCGTGGGTGCTGCTTCGATGTTGGGTGGGTTCAGTGGGGCTGGTCGATTCAAGAGTTCTTTGAAGTGTTCTACCCACCTGTTTTGTTGCTCTTCAATGTTGGTGATTACCTCGCCTTCCTTGCTTTTCACTGGTCGTTCTGGTTTGCGGCGATTTCCAGAGAGTTTCTTGGTCGTGTCATACAATTGTCTCATGTTTCCTTCTCTTGCAGCCTTTTCCGCCGTCGTTGCTAAATCTTCCACATATTTACGTTTGTCGGTTCTGATGCTCCTCTTTACTTGTTTGTTTATTTCCGTGTATTCAGCTTGTGCCTTGGCTTTTTCTGCTCTTGTTCGGCTGGTATTGATCGCTGCCTTCTTGTTCCTCCTTTCTTGAATCTTGTCCAATGTACCAACAGTGATCCATTCCTTGTGGTGGTGCTTCTTGTGACCCAGGACCTCATGACATGTTGAAGTGATTGCCTCTTTGATCCCCTTCCAGTTGCTCTCCACAGTAGTTCCTTCTCCATTGAGTAGATCATGAAAGGCCTGGAACTTGTTGCTGAGGACTATCTTGAATTCGTTGAGTTTATTAGTATCCTGGAGAAAGGCCGTATTGAACTTTTGTGATACTGTCTGCCCCGTTGTCCAGTGCTTCTTGAGTTTCAATTTCATCTTGGCGACCAGTAAGTGATGATCTGATGCTATATCAGCTCCTCTCTTGGTTCTCACGTCCTCTATAGTCCTCCTGAACGTTTTGTTGATGCAAATATGGTCGATTTGGTTTTGTGTAGAGTGATCCGGTGAAGTCCATGTGGTTTTGTGTATGCGTTTATGTGGGAATATGGTGCCGCCTATGACCAGCTTATTGAAGGCACATAGGTTTGCAAATCTCTCACCATTTTCGTTTCTTTCTCCAAGTCCGTGTCGTCCCATGATGTCTTCATATCCAGTGTTGTCCGTTCCAACCTTGGCGTTGAAATCTCCCATCAGAATGGTCAGGTCCTTTGTTGGGCACTTCTCGACGATTGACTGCAGCCTATTGTAGAATTGATCTTTCGCGTCTTCATTGTAGTCGTTGGTAGGCGCATAGCATTGAATGATGTTCATTGAAATGCCCTCTTTCTTTGTTTTGAAGGAGGCTTTGATGATCCTTGGTCCATGAGATTCCCATCCTATAAGTGCATTTTGTGCTTGTTTGGACAGCATCAATGCAACTCCTTGTGTATGTGGTGCATTTTCTTCTTCATGGCCGGAGTATAACAGGAGCTCTCCTGTAGTTAGTCGTTGTTGTCCAACTTGTGTCCAATGTGTTTCACTGATCAAATAATTATGACAATATCTTTATTAATGGGTAAATTTTCCCAATTGTTATGACTTTATGTCTGGCTTTTTATCACGTGATTTGTCCACCAATCAAAATACGACTTATACAATCTTCGCACTGTGCCAAACCAATGACGTTCGACTGGTATGAGCAGCCTAGCGTCCTTATTGGTACTACGTCCGTCTAGCCCGTCCACTTGAATTCAGAACACCACTTCCAGCTCCCACTATGCGAATCGAATCGAATCATTTATTTCAGACATACTGGGTTTATATATCAATCAAACAGACCGCAACGAACCATAAAATAGGAAATAACACTTGTACACAATAAAGTCAAAAGGTGGCTGTGAACGTGGGAGACAGTAGTCAATAAACTGGACATAGCTTACGAACAGTAAATCGTACAATAATAAATTATAGGCCAAAATGAAGCTTACAATAAGAGGAATAGGGATGTACACAGTCTAGTTGCTGAATAGTTATAAAATAACAATATATACAAAATATTAATCCATTAATAGTTCTCAGAAGTTACTCGTGATTTAATCTTCGCTCGGATATAACACTAATCACAAAACATTAATTTTCGTGACAATAAATCTGTTGTCTATATACTTAACTTTAGTAATACAATATACCAATATAGAATTAATAATTACAAGCAATTTCACTGAACAATATCTGATGTATAATAGTTACTTTAACAAACAAACACATCAACAATGAATATCAGTATATTTAAATAGACAGAACCACTAGCTTTATATCAATGCTTAACATATTCAATAATGATCCATTCATATTTCTCAATAACACCATATTATAATTAAATATTATTATTATTATTATCATTAGCTTTATTCAATATTATATTTTTGGTACAATATAGAATTCTCAGCGCAAAGTATTTCAATAAGTTTCCGTTTTTTTCTTCTTGGTCGGTCTTGGCGATAAATATTGAGTGATCTCCAGTTAGATGTTAGCAGTTCAGTAAATGAACATCTGAATAATGTGCATTCTTTTGGTTGTATATTGCCAGCAACCATATTGTCTCTTATTAAGTTTTTTGTAATTTTAACAACGAAAGGTTGTACACTTTTCAGAAACGCAGCAGAATAGATTATACGATTAAAAGACATAATGATATATTAAAATAAACAAAAAAATAGTTAACTTGTTGAAATATCTAGATGGCAGAAACAGGTAGCCCAGATGCTCAAGTAGGCCACCCTTTTGAATAGATGATAAAAGTCTTATAAAAAAAAATTTCAACAACAATAATAATAAAACTAAAACATATACCTTTGAAATACGTAATCTTTCAGCATGTACATCTTCATCTTCCGAATTATTCTCTTCATCCTCCTCATTATTATTATTATTATCATTATCATTAACATTATGATTCGATTTCATTTGATTAAGTTTTTTCATTAATAACATATGATGTTTAATGAATAATTTTGGATAATTAATATAAAAATAATATTTAATTGATTGTATAAAAAATTTATTTTCTTTTAATAAAACAAATAAAAAAAATAAACATGCTTCAATGAATAATGCAAATAATTTATGACCAAGTAAATTCCAATGTAATGGATTTGTATTATAATCTATCCATGATAATGATGATGATGATGATGATGATGATGATAATGATGATTTCTTGATATCTTTTGTATATTGTTTAATAGTATTCATAATATAATAACGTTTAGCTAAATCAAATAAACCACGACTTAAACAATATTGTGGAAATATAGTAAATATATATTTTAATATATTATTAATTATTTCTAATAAAAGATTATTTTTAGAAAAATCATCTAATATCAAGGTACACATACATGTAATAGAACCAATTAATAAATTAAATATAGATAATATTACTAATGATGTACTTGATGATGTAATAAAATATGTTGTCATATATAACATTGGTATAATAGCTATACCATATAATAAAATTAATAAAATAAATGCATAAATAACATCGGAATGAATATAAGCGAATTTTTCAAATATAATAAATATAATAATACATAATAAACCACATATAATATAATTCATGATATCCCATAAATATGATGTTAACCAATAGATCAGTGGTTTTAAACCTGAAACAATTTGTAAATGTTTTGAACCAATATTATTTTCTTTAATTAAAAATGATATAAAACTAGCTGGTATAAGTGATAAACTAAGTAATGTAAATAATGATAATGTTAAATCAATTAATAATTCTTTAGATAAACCTAAACTATGATCATTATGAGTTGGTAATGATAATGGATAATTAATAAATATAATATTAGTTAAATTATTATAATTATTTAATAACATATTTAATTGTAAATTATGTAATGAATTTAAATAAGCTGGACCAGATACATAACCTTTATTATTAAACCATATACGTAAATATGATATAGATGGTAATGATAATTTTAGAAATGTTATTAAATCAATCCAGAATGTATCTTTTTTAATTAAATTATTATGTATATCATAGATACTAGTAGTATTTGTTAATAAATGTATAAATAAATGATTTGGATTTAATAAATATTTAGAAATTTTACGAAATGATGGATAATTGAATGTATGATAACTTAAACCACCATATCTTTGTCTTATATATTGATGTTGTGTATTCATTAAATAATTTGATACTTTAAATGATGTTAAATTATAGAAAATATCTTTAGTTGGTAAAATTCTAAAACTTGGTTGTTGATCAATCGATGTATAACTATTTATGGAACATGATAAATTACATGAACAATCAATAGATTGAATAGAACGTATATATTTCATTTCATTATAAGTTAAATCTTTTTTCATTATTTTTATATTAGATAAATTACATTGATCATATATTTTATAATATCCATTAATATTTCTTAATGTTTCTTTAGATAAACAACCTATACCAGTCCATCCTAATGGTTTTTTTAATGCATTCTCATAATTCCATCCTATATTTAATATAGATTTAAATAATTTTGATTGATTCATTAAATTTTCAATTGGATCATTTAATTCATATAAATTATTTTCATAAAATGTATTTAATGGTAATTTATTTTTATCATTTATCATAAGCCATGGTGTTATAATCATTGGTTGATATAATGTTGTTTTAATAAAAAATTGTGATGATTTTAATGCTAAAATAAGTACACATATAGGTAATATAAATTCAATAAATATACTTAATTTAGATCGTTTAAAATAATGTAAACGTTTTATAAACATTGCTTTCATTTGTTGTTTTATATTAGATTGTAACAATGGTATATTTTCATTTAATATTGATTTATTATTTATTATATCATTAGATTGTTTTAATTTATTTATTTTATAATCATGTTTACGATTAAGATGACGTAATAATGTTGTTGTTGATGATGATGATGATGAAATTTGGCCTATATCTGTTAAACGTGATTCATGTGATTTAGTATCAGTTAACGTTTCTGTGCTGTTGTTGTTCTTGTATTCGATTCATTGATGTATTGATTTGATTTTTATCAATTTCATATTGATTATCATTTTGATTATTAGTTATTGTAATATTATCACATAATGAATTATTTGAATTCTTTGATAACATTGCAGGATCATCCGCTATACTAAGAAATATTTCCTCTAATGAAGTATCCGTTAATCCATAACTAATTATACCATGTGATATTAATTCAATAGGTAATTTCATTTGTTCATTATTAGATTGTTGATTTTCAAATTGTTTCAATAAATGACTTAATGAATTATCAATAACATTATGGATTGGTATACGAAATATGAATTCATTTTGATTAAAATCAATTAAATGTATATCATTAATATATTGTTTTAAATAATTAATGATATAATTGATAGGTTCATTGATTAATGTATCATTATTATGATAACTTTCTATAGAATCATTATTAATCGATTGATTTTGACGTTCTAATATTAAATAATAACCATGATTATATATTGATTTTAAATATAAACTAGAACCATAACATTTTAATTGACCTTGTGATATAATAGCTATACGATCACCTAAAATATCTGCTTCATCCATATGATGTGTTGTTATAATAATTGTTTTATTTAATTTCATTTTAATAATTAAATCCCATATTGATCTACGTGAATATGGATCAATACCAGTAGTTGGTTCATCTAATAATATAATTGATGAATGACCAATAAATGCTATAGCTATAGATAATTTACGTTTTTGTCCACCAGATAAATATTTTACTTGATCATTTAATTTATTATTTAAATTTAATAATTTAATAAAATATTGTATTTCTATATTCATTTGTTCATTATTAAAACCTTTTAATTTAGCATAAAATTTTATATGTTCAATAACTGTGAAATAATCAAATAATATATTATGTTGTGGACAATAACCTAAATTAGTACGTATTATATTCATTTGATTATATATATTATAACCACAAATATATGCTGTACCATTGGATGGTTTATGGATACCAGTTAAAATGGATATTAATGTTGATTTACCTGATCCATTATGTCCTAATAATGATGTAATTTGATTTGTATAAAAATCAATAGTTAATTGATTTAATGCTGGTTTATTATTTTTAGTATAAATTTTACTAATATTTTTTACAGATATACTAATTGGTAAACATTCTGTATTCGATTCTATACATAATGGCAATTTCCCACTTTCTTCATAAACATTATTATTATTATTCATTGAATCGATAGGATTCTTTTCATGATTCTTTTTGATTATCTTCCAGTTTTGATATTTAATTCTTGAATAGAATAATTGATATATATAATGATTGTTTGATATAATCCATTCTATTAATAATGTTATACATAAATATAATATAGAATCAATCCATAACATTAGTATACATTTACCAGGTGAATATAATGAATCACTTAATTTAATATGCCATATATTATTCCATTGTGTACCAAAACCTTGTGATTCTGATCTTAATAATGAATATAAACCTAAACAAAATGCTACTTGATTTGATAATGATATAAATATAATTAATTCTTCTGTAATCCATTTTTCATTCATTAATATAATTGGTAATGGTATATATAATATAAAATAAAATAAACCAGTTATAATAGCACTTAAATTAGCTTTATAAAAAAATATTGAACATAAAAAACAAAACATTATAATTGATATAATATAAGATATAAATAATAAAAATATAATAAATATATTACTTAATATAATAATATTACCATATTTTAATATAATTGTAATAATGATAGTAATAGGTAATACAACTATCAATGTACTACTAAACCAACTAAACCAATGTATAATATTAGTGAAACCCATAATTTTAGTAAATTCTTTAATATATAATTCTTTTTCTTCTACAATATATTTTGTTAATAACATTGCTGTTAATATCCATGTTAGAATTAATAATTGTGGTAATAATTTTGTTATTTTATATAAAAATTTATCATTTATATAACATGTAGTTGGAAAAAATTTCATTTGTTTACCAATCAATAAATCGATTGATGATGATGACGATGAAGATGATGATGATGATGATGATGAAGATGATGTATTCCATATATTCCATGAATTATTTAAACGTTGAATACGTTCTGGTAAATTATTAGATATTTCTATAATTGCATTACTAATTAAATCTTGTATATCTAAAAAACCACTTGTAAAATATTTTGTATCACCATCATTTACATTATTACGTGGTCCTGGATGCCATGTATGATCTAATACTTTATAATTATTTGTATCATCTATAAGATAAGAACTTTGACGTATTGTTACTATAGTTGATGAATTTTTTAACATATCCAATGTATAATTATTATGATTAATTGATGAAAATATTGTATTATTAAATATAATACCTTGAACAATTGGATGTACTTGTGATTTAAATAAATCCATAAATAAATTAAAATTTGTTTCATTATTTACACCGTATATATTTGTTGCTAAGGGAAAACAATCTAATAATTGTATCATTATATCAATCATATTATTAATTCGATTAAAAATAATTGGTTTATTTAATAAATCATTTGTTTCATTTGTATAATTGTTTATTTCAGGACTTAACCAATATAATCCCTGCATACACATATTTCGAATAGTATTATATAATACTGTATGACTGTTATTATGATTATTAGAATGTGATATACAAAGATTTAATAAATGTCTAACTTGTATTAATAATGATGTATTGGATAAATAATAATTTAAAATTGGTTTAGTATGTAATTGATATTGTTTTAATGTATTTTTAAAGAATAATAATAAACGTTGCGGTTCCATTACTCTATACATGATTTCATTTGTCCATTGATTTACAGGATAATAAAATATATAACCATTTAATAAAAATCTTATACGTCCAGTATATTGTATAAATAATTTATTATGTAATAATTTTTGTAATGAAATACAATTAATTTTATAATTATTATTGATAGAATTCATAGAATTCATTGGTGTGATCAATGGTAATGAACGTTGAATTCGGATTAATTTTTTTTCTATATCAAATAAATTAGTAAAATCAATATCTTTTAAGAATTCCATTAATTGGCCAATATCATTTAAATGTGATGTTTTTGTACCGCATATAAATCGGGATATAGTTGATAACCAATAAATTTGCTTAATTGTTATATTAAATATACCAAAATTGATTGTTTTATTATGTAATTCATTTAATTGATTATTATCATTATGATGATGATTATTACTTTCATTTGTATTATCATTTTCATAAATTAATTCATTGAAAATATCTTGATAAATTTGTTGAATATTGAATAGAATAAATTTTAATTGTTTTAATGATTGACTATTGGGATCATTCATAAATTTTAAAAAATTTGAAATATTATAATGTTGAAAATCTTTTGTTCTAATAAATAAAAAAGAAATGTTTCACAAAACATAACCATTATTCATAATAATATTTTGCATTATGATATGAGCTACTTATATTGATATAAGTAGAATGAAACAATAGTCAAAAATAGAATGTGTTTTAGTACGAAGATTGAGAAGGAAAGAATGGAAATAGAAAGTAATTGGTATGAAAATGTAGGAACAATGAGTGAAAAACAAATAACTATGTGACATTCTTTTGTTTATTACTCATTTACTTGTTTTATTTTGATGAACCATCGACGACACTATAATTTATAGATGAACCAATCACATATAACATAAAAGCTCTTGGATTTTGGTGCAAAATTCATTCATCCATTTGGGTAAACAGTGTTTTTGGATTTTGGTTGACATCAGTTCGTGATGAAAACCATAAATCTAAGTCCTAATACTTAATCATCAACAGTGAATCTTAATTCTAGTTCCTCACCATAGTTTATAACCCTCATTTGGTCTTAGTTAATATGTGAACATTCTCAAGATCAATTTAGAGTCGCTCAAAGGTTGTCCATAAATTATAGTCTCACCGAACTATTTGATATTAATAATAGTTTATAATAAGTGATATGCGTTTCTCATTTATTTTGAAAAAATATGGATCAATAACCCGTGTTTTTATCAATGTTATTGTGTTATGTGTTACTGATGTCGATAGAGATAAGTAGTATCCATCATCAAACGAAAGTGAAATACATGATGGCAGGTTAATAAGATGAAAGAAAAGAGAACGAAAACAACAAATTATTAATGCGAAAACCTGTTGACAATGAAGTCTGAGACAATTGATTGATATTTTGTGAATAAAGTATTTACTGTATGGTTCTCAGATTTTAGTGAGATATTCTGTAATTTTGTGTTCAAATACATTCGGTTTTCCCCACTTGTGTTCACTGCATTATGTTTAGTAATACGTTATTAACATTGATAACTTGGAAGTTATAATAATTAGTTGAGATCATGAATTGATCAATGTTAGGGTACCATTAAGAATCTGAAAGCAATAGATGACCTTTTCGTTCTAGTATGGGACTACTCAACAGTACGCATCTACAATCTTGCAAGTAGGATTCGAATCCAGGATCTTAAGTGGATACGCACTACTAAAAAGTCTTATATTGAGATAAAACGCCATTTAGTGCTTTCAAGTTTTTAGTGTTGTTCTACCACTGGTCAGTTAATGATCTCAATTAAAACTCAGAAATCTTCACAACTCTATAATGATATAATAATTAAATTTGTTTAAATAGCTTCTTTAACTCTGTTACGATTACACAATAGAAGGACCGTTCAACTATGTTAATTTATAAATAGTCTAGTAATCAAATAATACATTAATAATATTTTTAATTTCTAGATGCTTAACAACCAGAGCAACAATTTTTATGGGTACATGGAACGTCCGGTCAATATGGGAGACCGGGAAGACCAGTCAAATAGCAACAGAAATAAAGAGATACAACTTCATAATACTCAAAATAAGAGAAACGCATTTAACTCATATTGCACAGCAAAGATGCTGCTGTACTCCTATCACGAATAGGAAGATGCTTCACGTACTCAGGGAGTTGCTCTGATGCTATCCGAAGAAGCTTGTAATGCACCTATAGAATTGGAATATCATGGATCCAGAACCATCAAAGCATCATTCAAAACAAAGATGGAGGGAATCACGATGAATTTCATCCAATCTTATGCATCCAAAAATGGTAGTAACGACGATGATAAAGATCAGTTTTATGAGAGGTTGAAATCAATCATAGCTAAGTGCACAAGAAAGGATCTCACCATCCTGATGGGAGACCTAAACGCCAAAGTCGGAATGGATGACGCCGGATATGAAGATATCATGGGACGATATGGACTGGGGGAAAAAACGAGAGTGGAGAGAGATTTGCAAATTTACGTGCATTCAACAATATTTCCACATAAAACTACATAGGTCTCTCCGGATCGCACCATGGAGAACCAGATAGATCACATTTGTATCAGTAAAAAATTCACAAGGACAATGGAAGACGTGAGAACAAGAAGAGGAGCTGACATAGCTTCAGGTCACTACCTGATTCTGCCCAAGATGAAACTGAGTCTAAAAACATTGGACAGCTGGAAAGACAGCAGTACAAAGGTTCAATACAGACTTTCATCGACATACTGATAAAATGAACTAATTCAAGATAACTCTCAACAACAGGTTCCAAGCCTTACATGATGTGATCAAAGAATAACAAAATACTATAGGGGACAACTGGAAAAAGATCAAAAAAGCAATAACTTCAGCGTGTCAGGAGGTGCTGGGCCGCAACAAGCATCAACATAACGAACGGATCTCTATCGAAACCCTGGACAATATTCAAGAAAGGAAAAACACAAAGACAGTAAGTAGCATCAGTCGAATAAGAGCAGAGAAATTAATGGCACAAATTCAATACACAGAGGAAACAAACGAGTGAAGAGGAACATTAGAGCCGATAAGCAGAAATACATGGAAGAGGTAACAAGGACAGCGGTAAAAGCTGTATTAGAAAATATGAGAAAGTTGTGTGACACAATGAAGAAACTAGCAGGGAAACATAATAAACAAGAGAGATCGATCAAGAAAAAAGACAAGACAATCACCGAGATTCATGAACATAGGAAGAGATAGGTAGAATAATTCGAGGAACTCTTGAATAGACCAGCTCCACTGAATATCGAAGCAGTACACACAGACCTTCCCATAGGCGTCACTCCACCAACAAATAGTGAGAAAGCAGCAGGACCTAACGATGAATCATCTGAAGTTTTGAAGTCAGGTATAATATAGTGAACGAGAACACTAGTGGGGGCAATCGAATGTATTTGAACACAAAATTCCAGAATCGCTTAGTAAAATTTGAGGACCATACAGTAAATACTCAAGTTGCAGAATTTCAGTCAATCGTCTCAGACTTTACGGATCTTTCATTTTCACAGCAATCATTCTCTGTTCTCGTTCTGTTCTCTTTGATCCTCTTAACCTTCTGCTTCTAGGCATTTTACTCTCGGTTGATGATATATACTACTTATATCTATCGTAATTAGTAGCACACACCTCAATAAAAGTAATTGCAATTATGCTTCATGTTCTGTTCATAAAGACGTGAGAAGAAGAACAAATAAAGATGGATTGGAAAGGAGGATACCTAATCAAGGTGCCAAAAAAGGAGATCCGAAAAAGTGTGAAGCTACGGAGGCATCACACTACCGTCAGTACCGGGAAATGTTTTCGACATTCCCACGATAGAAGAACACATGAAACTCAAAATAACTGTCAACCAAACAAAGTCACAACATTCAATATGAACGTCAAGACAGCCCTACTGTGTGGAGCTGAGACGTGGAGCACTACTAAAACCATCATCAAAAGGTAAAAGTATTTATAAACACTTGTATATGAAATATACTCAATGTTCATTGGTCGGATGTCACCATCAACAACCTACTATGGGAGAAGGACAAACCAGCTTTCAATTGTGGAGGAAATTAGCAAAAGACGTCAGAGGTGAATAAGACATACATTACGGAAATCACCAAAGTGCTTCACCAGGCAAGCCCTAACTTCGAATCCTGAAGGAAAACAGAAAAGAGGAAGAACAAAGAACACACTGCTCCGAGAAGTAAAAGCAGATAAGAAATGGATGTATAGCAACTAGAAAGAACTGGAAAGGATTGTCCAGGACAAAGTTGGACGGAGAACGCTGGTGAATGGCCTATGCTCCTCGACGAGGGGTAACAGGCGTAAGTATGTAAGTAATGTAGAAATAAACGATTATGTTAACTACGTCTTCATTTTTGTGTTCCTAAGTCCCTCTGAATTAATTAGCTGAGGACTAGTATATACAACAGCCAAGCTCATAAATTCTTCAAGGATCAACAATTTGTAACAGATCTCACACTGCCATCAACCCGTCTACCTAACACTCATTGAACGACCATGTTTCAAGCGTTCTTGCACTTTGAAAGTTATTGTGGTTACATATGAAATTAAAATGACATTACAGTTGAGTTTAAACTAAATGAATTGGTACATAACTCGATAGACATTCAGTATATAATATAGAATTTGCCGGTGTTTATGGTACTTAACTAATTGAAGTCGTGTAGTCAAACACCAGTTCATTTCATGGAACAACACGAGATGTATACGAAAAGTATCATTTATTCACTCAACGGTCAGTTTATAGATTTAAATCTCGTTCACTTATGCATGTAATCATATATATTAGTTTTTTCAATCACTATCACTTTCTTATGAACCAATTGTTAGTTTAATCAGTATCATTTAAAGACAGCAAGTCTAACATCAGCCTCATTAGTTCCTTCCATATCAACTTATCTTCATAAACACTAACTTATCATAAATACTTGATTTACCAAAAAATCCCTAGTTAAAATAATAAAACTCAAATAATTGTGTTTCGGTACCTTCACCTCAATTTAAAGCTAAACTAACAGAAACGAACAGTTAAATGATTTTTTATTGAGAGAGGGATGTTGGCTAGCAGTGGTATCCAGGACGTGCGTTTCACTCGATATATAACTCTTTAATTATATGTACGACATATATTAAAAAGAGACTGATCAATTGAATTCGTAAGTGTCAATAGGAAGGTTCAAACAACAAACACATATCAACTATACGATTCATACAAAGCTCTATTGGCTTAAAAGAATCAGTCAATCAGCTACAATGTGGTACTAGGCACATACATGCATCGATCGAAGTTGCCATACCTCATTAGCACAAAAAAGATGAACACCGGATTCATAGAAGTAGTTAATTCAATGGTGGTAATATATAAAAGAAAGATTGCACATAAGGAAATAGTACAGGAAAAAAGAATTAGTTCGTAGAAAGAAAGATATGAAGCGATTTTAATTTCATAGTTTAAGGGAAGACAGAGAGTGTATACACCTACGCCAACGTGATCGATTCTGAGCCACGTTACACAGTCTATAAATATTGGTTACGATAGTCACACAGACCCCAACCGAGTAGTCTGCATCTACCAACGTGGCTCAGGCCAGAAGTTTATGACTTCAAGCACTGACCCACCTCTTAGTTTGGCCTCCGCAAACTTTCTTTCATCGTCTCCAACACTAATCAGCATTGTGCGTCGTGGTAATCGGTGTTCAAGCATACGTAACACGTGACCCAGCCATCTCAGTCGATGAAGATTCACAACTTCATCAACTGATTTACCATCATTATCTAATACCTTGCGTCGGACCTCACTATTACTTACCCGGTGATCCCAGCGAATGCGAGCAATATTTCTAAGGCATCTGTGGTTAAATACTAGTAGCTTATGAGTATCTTCTACTGTTGACGGCCACGTCTCGCAGCCGTAAAGTAGAACAGAACGAACTGCCGCACAGTACACTCGTCCCTTAATTGATAGACAGATACCTCGTCTTCACCATAGGTGACGTAAGTTGACAAAAGCCAAACGAGGTTTTCGAATCCGTGTAGAGATTTCGTCAGACACCAACCTATTTGGGCTGATTAGATTTCCAAGATAAGTGAAGCGTTTAGAGGGAGAGAAGCGCATCTTAAACACTCCGGCATTGTTGCTCAGTACTATCAAAAGAATAAATAAGCACTGAGAATTCCAAAACATCCATACTAATTCTACTTACAGAAACTATCAAATACCCGTATATCATCACCTACTGAGTAATTATTATGATACAGTAATTTCGAATTAGTAACACTATTGATAAGATACTAGATAATGTCATCTTTAAAAAATCTTAAACTAAATATTGAACAATAATAACTTAACATTTTTCAGTGTCAATGATTAACTCATCAACTAAATAACTTGATATATCCCTTCATTTATTAACTGTACAGAATACATCTTTAAGATTTCAACTAATTAATATGATTATAATCATTGGTAATAATGCAATTGTATTTTATTGCTAAGTATCAAACATATCATTACAATGAAACTGTTAATACGATCTTAAAATTCAGTGTCAATAAACAAACGTGACCGTTTACAATTACATTGTTATGAAAGAAGGATTATTTTAAACCTAAAAGTACGATTTATTTAATGTGACCTGCTTTCTTACAGTCATTATCAATCAAATACTCATTTCAATATATATATATATATATATATATATATATATATATATATATATATATATATATATATATATATATATATATTTAACTATACACGTCATACATTGTATTTAACCTATATCTACTGCTTAACTTGAAATGTAATAACATGCATATCACAATTGAAACGATTCAACAACGAAAGAAAAAAAACGCTTTGATCTAGATAAGTTCAATACCGAGTAATATCAATCAAATTGTCAAAACTATTAGATTTTCAAGATACTTAAAATGATCAAAGCTTTATTTAAGATGATAATTGAAATATTGAATGACAGATTCTTATGAGGTCACTAATTTCATATCTTGAGTAAAGTATTTTATAATATTAAATACATATTGAATGTTTATATACTACTAATTAATCCAGTAATTCCATATAGGCAACAATTTCTTTGATAATCGTTTTATTAATTAACAACGAATAAAACAATTAGTATTTGAACGAAGAATATTCTTTTCGATAAATTCTCTTCAGGTTCCTACAATTCAATATATCCAAATTAATAATCCGAAAAATGGCCAGGTTTAGGGCAAACTACATCATTTAAAGCATGTGAATTTAGGATTGTGATAAACAAAATACAATAAAATTGTTAATGTTGATATGACTCAGATAGAATGTTAACTTGAATCTGCGTATATGTTAAATGAAATTTTAAGATCCATGATCAGAATAAATATGGGTTTTGACCCATATAATTGTAGAACCTGAAGCGAATTTATCGAAAAGAATGCTCTTCGTTTAAATACTAGTCTTTCAATATGACGGGGATCTTTAAACGAATAAAACGATTACTTATAAGAAACGTAAACTCAAAACTGAAACTGTTTCTTATAGTTCCATTATTCGTTGTTTGTATGATGAAAAAAGATAGTCCAATTTGTGTTGACAGATAAATTAACATCGCGAATTAAAAAAGTAGACATTATATAGTTGAGTTCATGAGTCAATCGAGGCTGAACCACTATGAAAAATCTGGAAGCATTAGACGGCCATTCCGTCCTACTATGGAACTCCTCAATAGTGCGCATCCACGATCCCGCCTCGCGAGATTCCAACCTACGACATTCGATCTCACGTACGAACAGTTAGCCTGTAGACCACTGGGCCGGCGTCCGACGGTATTAATGTCCGAATCCAACTAATCCACGAAATTAAGCGACACATCTACCATTGTCTTCAGTGAGTTACTATCTCACAACTGACCCGGTCGAACTTCACTGGTCACGGGTTCTCACTAGAACTCCAGAGAATACCTCTTGAAACCAGTCACTAGTGAGCATTCAATGATTATTATTACGAGAAGAGCTTTTGTGAAGACTTTAGTAATTTTATAGTTGAATCCACGAGGAGTCTCACAATAGGACGAAACGGACGTCCAATGCTTCCAGGTTTTCCATGATGGTCTAGCCTCAATGGACTCACGATCTCAACTATTAAATTACTAAAATCTCCACAAAACCCCTTTTGAAAGTAGACATTAGTCAGAATACTTTGGGTCATTTATTTGCAGTGACATTTCTTATTGTGTATAAACCGAACACGTTTATTTTGTATAATAGGCAATTGATTGTTTTAGAAGAAATCTAAGTTAACAGACTTCTTGAGTGTATTCGAAGGGTTCAAAAATAAGTTATCCTCATTCTGAACGTGAATCTAATAGTTCTTCATTTCGTCAGCATACGAAGGAATGAGCGAACTGATACTTCATTCGGTACTATACTCTATCCCTTTTTAATTTATTTTGCTTTCATCAATACATTAATTTTTGGACTAGATAAGTAAGTGGTTTATCAAATTTCCTTAAATAAACTGTATAAATGCGCTCGATTTTTAAATGACAGTAATCATTTCATTACACTATCCGAAGGTTTTATAACTGTGAACACATCAATTTTTATATGGTAATATATGATGATAAATGATATATATATTAATTAAATGATACTTACATATTTTCAGTCAACAAATCTCCAACAATACTAGAAATATTCTCAAGTAAATTACCAAACACAGTATAATTATACTGTTGTGAAGTGCTATCAGGATCTATAGAATGACAACGATAAAGGAAATTACAAACAATGGACTGTAGATAACTGAATAAACCCATAGTTGGAAGATTTACTGAACGAACATGGCATGTGTTCTCATTTACTGGTGGTGATTCAGTTCGCATTCCAACTAAAATAATTGGGATCATCAAAGGGACTAAGATTTCAGCTAAGAGAAATCCAGGGCGTCGTTTACGAAGTAAGAAATTTTTCCACATCAACAACTGATAATGTATAAAGAATTCCTTGGATTTTGACAATGAAACTTTAGTATCTTTATAATTTGGATCTTTCATAATTAAAATGTTTTAATTTTATTGATAGAAATTCATGGGATAATCTGAAAAGTTAAGATAAAACAAATTCCTAAGAATAAATCATCAAGTTATAACGGAAAGAACCAATATTCATACAATTCAAAAATTCCTTATATCAGCCAATCTAATTTAGATATCAGCCTGAATGAGTCGAGATATCATAATCCACCATATTTACAGTCAAATGATTGAGATACAAAGCAGATGATTGATTTTATCATCCGTTGATATTAACTGTAGAACTATTAGGAAGCAGAAAGTATTAGGTAGACTCTCTACTTCAACGGCCTGCATCACTGACCACACATGATATTGAAACAAAGACTTTTACGATACTTTGTGGGACATGCGTTAGTATTCAGTAGATAAAATAACGTACCTCTTGTAATCGAGTGAAACCGCAGGATAAATATCATGCTTCTCTGTGAACTGACCCCGTAAGTCACAGCTTTCGATAAAGAACTAAATGCCTTCAGTTGAAGTTCATTGGAAGTTGTGAACTTGTATCGTTGAAAAGTTTCCAAATCCCACCTGTTTCTCAACGATTCTTCAAATGATATGAACATGTGCTAAAAGCTATGCTCAGTACCAAGAAATTTTCACAATTCAAATCAAAAACTGATCTAAGTTAGACCACCATCGAAAACGTGCAGGCACTGGACGACCGTCTCGTCCCAGTGTGGACTGCCTAGCAGTGCGTGTCCAGAACCTCCTGTCTCGCAACCTAACGCTAAAATCAGCTAGTGAGTTGAAATGTGAAAATGTTACAATCTCCATAAAACACCTATACTATAATCAAGAAATTACCCAATTAAAGTTTTAGTATCTTTAGCAATAGAATTCTTCCAGCGCTTCCATGAAAGTATTCACGATTACACGATAATAACAAATAAGAATCTTTTTAAAGATCACTAGACTGGTTTGATTCTAAACATACCGGAGTGCATAGAGGATAACATAAGTCAGGATGAAGGATAGATTTTTACAAACGATTTACCTATATTTATATTTCTGGTAGAGAATAGAAAAAAAAGCAAATTCCTTCATTATTTTATAACCATAAACAGTCTAAATTCACTTGGTATTGTTTGTTTGAATCTTCCGCATTGATGTTTAGAACTGCGATCCATCACTCTCTTATTGGCATATGTGCATACTGTGCGTATTGCCTCAATATTGCCTTAACTCACAAGCATTATACGCAAAGATGGATAGTGACTAGCAGTGAACTCAGAAGCTAAGTGGATAACGCGGTGGTGTTTAAGTTCGAGCCCCAGAGTGAACATCAACTCTGATTTCTAGGTATATCCAACTGACAAGTCCCAAGTAGGACGAAATACGCGTTCTGAATTCCACTGCTAGCCACTATCCATCTTCACATAAACAGCCGAGTTTAACTGATATTTCATTAATAAATTTAGTTTGTAATATTTCTTTTAAAAGTATTCTGAAATCGATTCAAAGCTGTAGCATTATCAATTGTGTTTATAAAATTTAATATCATAACAACGAATATATATCTAACGCACTTGAAAAACGAAGTATTCTGTAAATATATTCATAGGTCACTACCAGCATTCTAACCACCATACCTTTCTTCAAGCAAATATAATTTTGTATTCATATAAAATATTTAGAAAGGTCAAATTGATAGACTTTTATTTGGTCTACGATATACTTTATCTGTTATCACCACATTTTAATATCAACATACGAAATTTAACTAAATTACACGCTAATGTAGAATACATAGAATTTCATTTGTGATGAATTCTGATCAATGAATAATAAGGTGAAAGAAGATTAGACCTTCAGTGACTTATTTTTGTTCAGCTTTTTTTTAAAGTACGCTTTAACTACAGTACTCTTTGAGTAATGGATTAAGTAAGTACACTGTTTAATAGGACAAAATAAGTGCAACTTAAGCAGATAGAAGATCAATTGACGTTGATATGACGTCCGGTTATAATTCTTAAATTATCAAATGAATTGTATTATATTTCCATATATGTTTTTGATACTGTTGACCTTCAAAAAACATTATGAAAATTTCTTAACATCACAATTACTGTACATTAAAAGTATAAATGTACAGGAATGAATCATTTGAGTTATTTACTAAGCTGTTTGAGGCAGAAATCTAACAATAACTATTAAATGTAAATTTAACCAAATAGTTGATTATATCAATATTAAAATGAAAATCATTTAGCTCCTTATTTGACATTACAATAATGCCTTAAAAACTAACACAAATTAGCTGAGATCTCTATGATGATACTAAAAAAATCTCTTTGAAATTCGAAATATTTTACAGGATAAAATTAGGAAAAGGATAGTAAAACTTAATCACATTATGAACAAAAACCAATTAAATACAAATGTAATAGATCAAATAGTTGATTCATCATAATAAAATAAAATGTGATACTTTTATACATCAATAATAATTTACCATAGAATATCGAAACACTGGGATGAAATTAGCAACAACTATATCGGAGAAGTTGAAGTAATGATAATAAATTAAATATATGTAGAATATGAATTCACTTGGTACTGTTTTGCTTGTATCTTCCCATTGAGGTTTAAGACTACAATTGGTCAGTCTGTTATTGGCATATGTGCATACTGTGTGTATGCCTCGATATTGCCTTAATTCACAAGCTTCGTTCTAGTTGGGACTCGTCAGCTGGATGTACCTGCATCTCAGAGGGGTGGTGTTCAGTATGGGACTCGAACGCAGTACCATTCGCTTCAAACGCCATCGCGTTATCCACTCAGCTACCGAGTCCTGATAGCCATTTGCTTGTGCAATGGGGTGAATTTACCAATAACAGACTGATCATCCAATGATGTTAATGTCTAACTCCAACTCTATGGTGGTCTAGCTTCAATTGACTCATGACGTCAATTATTGAAACTACTAAAAAAACTCCACAAAGCTTCTTCTGATAAAAATCATCTGCTCACTAGTGACTGACTTCAAAAGCCATTTCCTGGAGTTCTAGGGTGAAGCTGTGACCAGTGAAGTTCAATCGGATCTGTTGTGAGATATAAGCTCACTGAGGATAATGATGTACGGTGGCGCAATTACGTGAATTGGTTGAAGTTAGACATTAACAACACTAGGACCGAAAGGTCCTGGGTTCGAATCTTGCGGGGTGCGGGATCGTGGATGCGCACTGTTGAGGAGTCCCATGCTAGAACGAAATGGACGTCCAGTGCTTCCAGGTTTTCCATGGTGGTCTAGTTTCAATTGACTCATGATTTCAACTATTGAAATCAATAATCCTGAAACTCTATTATACAATAGGATAAAAATCAAAACTGATTATATGAAGAAGTCTTATAAAACTCTGCATTTTTATTTACGTCTAGTTAAATTATTATCATAAAAGTTCTTTTGAATTATTAATTAATCTATTCTTGTATTTAAGGTCAAATTTATTTTTATATTATTGCTTTGCCTTATAGTGTACATTGATTACAATATAATAAGTATCAAGGTAAACATATGAATAAATTACTTAGAAATTCTACATTTTAAATATTCAACAAACGTTTGTTGATTTAATAATATTATAAATAAATAGAGATATTTGCTAGTTGAATTCATGAGTTAATTGAAGTTAGATCATCATGGAAAACCTAGAAGAATTGGATAGCCGTTTCATCCTAGTGTGCGACTACTCAGACGTGCGCATACAAGATCCTGCTCTGCGAGATTCGAACTCAAGTCTTATCAGTCTCGCTCGAGAACACTTAACCTCTAGACCACTGAGCTGGACGGCATCCAACGCTGTTAATGTCTAACTTCAACTAATCCACGAAAATGAGCCATTGAGATATTTTCATCAAACTAAATCACTAAAGACAGAAAACATTTTGCTGAACTTATTAAATTAAGATTTGAGAATCACAGTATTTACTCGTCATTACTACGATAGCTTGTACTGATGCTGGTTTAAATCTCCAGAGGAGTACCATTTATCTTAGGATTTCAGATACATCTTAATAATAAGTGTTAACTAGTGAGAAATCTGGTCCATTGAATTAATGTTTACTATCTCTGACTACACATTATTTCATGAAATATATAAGAAGTAATAAATAAGGCTGTCAAACTACATTTTAACAAATTTTAACTTTAATGATCAAAATTAAATAAATCTCATTCTCCAGTACTTCAATGAAAAAAAAAATCATGTTATTTCATCCAGATTATTCTTTTAAGAAATTCTAAAGACCATCTACTAAAGGGAATTCGTCAGTTTATATCATTTGAACTATACAGATGTATTTCAATTACTTATTGTATTCTTTTAATGATACTCTTACAAGATATTATCACTGAAACTATTGAGAAACCTATTAAACTTGTTCGACTTCTTATATGAGATATATTGTAGTGAACTATAAATCAAATACAACCAATTAAAACTAAGCATGAATGTGTAGTTGTTCAAATCATCAATGAATTGAAGGTCAACTTTAACAATATAATTCAAAACATATTTGGTCAAAAGAAATCATTGAACATAGAATAATAAGTAAACAGTAATGAAATTCTTAAAGTTGTAAACAAAGTTAAAAATTTACAAATCAAGGTCATCATTGTTGTTGGCAATCCGTAATAACTTAATTTGAATAGGCTGATTTTCTAAAGCGAGTTTTTTTAAAAAAAAAAGACTGATTTATGTTACATTTCATATAGGCATACTTTGGTTATGGTAATTTATTAATAATTGAGAGTAGAATTGAGAATACTAAATTACAGTCAGGTTTATAAGTAAAACTATGTTATAGAGTCGTAACGTTTAGCTTTTGATATAAGGATAGTTATAATTGATTGCCGAGCCTATAACATGATTGAACATTGTCAATATACAACTGGTTTGAACAATGAACTACAGAAAAAAGTAGATTACTAAGTTTAGTTTAGTTTTTGAGAGACTTTTATAACTGTTTAAAGATTCCCATCATATTATATATCATTCAAAATATGTTAATTAATGCAACA